CCCCCCCCCCCGCCATGCTGACAGCACCAGGAAGGAAGAACATTTCTTTCTTTCTTTTTTTAAGAATGATTTTATTTATTTATTTATTTATTTATTTTGCATGAGTTTTTTTGTCAGAGAAAGACAGAGAGAGAGAGGGAAAGGGAGAAAGCAAGCAGCTAGGTCCGAGACTCGAACCATGGTCACCCATGTAGGAATGCCAGTACCTTAACCACCACGCTACCTGCTGGCCCTGGAAGAACATTTCTAACTCCAGAGGGAATCTGCTTCCAGGTCCAGAATTAAGAGTAGGCAGCTCAAAAACAGAACAGGGAAAACCACTTGCTCTCCACATCCCAATCTTGGCTATCCAGGCCATAATCTCTGAGGGTCCTCATCACATGTTCTACCTTATTTGTTTTTCTTTAACTGTCACCTATTCCCAGGCCACAATACATGTTCAACAAGCCTTTGAGATAAATCAGGCTATTTCTTTTCAAGGGCAGTTGGATGTCAAAACCCCTGGAAACCTGTGAACCACCGTACAAACTCTGCAAATGGGTAGTGACATGACCCCAAATCAATGGAAGTGATATGACAATTGACCATTTTTAGACTCATGCCATGGCAGAAGCACTAGGCTCCATGCAGACCACAGAGGCCTATGGTCTTTTTAGCGGGACCATAAGAGACCGAGAAAGCAATGCCCATGGGCACTGCCCTCCGGGCAGACAGAAGAGCACATGGAGAAGAGAATGTTGGGGCAAAGGAAGGAGACAATAAACAAATGAGAAGCAAAACTGCAGAGGGATGAGGCTGTCAAGGGCCAGCTCCATTTCACTTGACACTCCCAAGCCTTGATCTGAGGCCCCAAGAGAGATAGATTAAAGGGCATCAAATTCAGGTAAGTCAAGCCACCCCTCTTTGGCCCACCAATGCAGCCCTTTGGTGTGGGAAGGAGAAGAAAGGTTCTGCCCTGGGCCCTGCAAAGCAGCCTGGCTCAAGTCTGAAGGTCTATGCCCATGTGACACTCAGCGTCTTCCTACAGGGAGGGGTCCAGTGATGTCAGCACCCCAGCCTGGAGCTGCACAAAGCCTGGTCTGTTCCTTCCTGAAAACAGGGTCTTTGAGAAGGTCTGAGTGACTCCATTATAAATCCAACACTCCGTGTGGGATTCATGTGGTTCTAAAGCTCCCAATGCCCTGGACCACCTACAGCTAACCTCACTGCTATTTGGGCTGCTATTTTACTGGACACTACAACTCTGTCTGAACAAAGAACAGAAGTGGGCATATGTCACACCAACCACCCTGATAAGACTGTCCTTCTGCAACTTGGAGGAGAAAACTCCCACTTGTTTGGTCTCCATCAAAAAAGTCACACAACTGTTTTGGAACTACAGTGGGATGGCATCCAAGACCACTACCTACACAGAGTACAGAGACAGCAAAGATGTCCGTGTCAAAGGGGAACTATCGCTGGTGAATGCTGGGAAGGAAACAGCCATTCGGATGTGCTGGAGGCACCTGGAGGTCTGATCCTTCATGGTCTTGCCTCACTATTTCATGGTTCACTTCTACATAGTGCTAATTCTTATCTTAGAGAAATGCAGGAGTTATCTCTTGAGCTATGTTTGACCTACCTAATGAGGGCAGGGTTGTGAAAAGGGAGGCATGGCCAGGGAATAGAGGAGGCGTTAAGGGAGTGTTAAAAGAGCAGGACTTCAAAGTGGGATGTGTAGCCAGCTGTGGCATAAAAATGCCTTGGAAGCTGTGTAGATCTGTGTAGACCAGCTAGTCCCTGATTTCACTGGCCAAGAGAAATCATCAGGTTCTGTCTTTGCCCAAGAGGGACACAGAGAGGCTGAACAGACAAGTATATGACTAAACAGACCGCTTAATTTGTATGATTCTCACCTTAGTAAAATTTCAGAAATGAATGACTTTAAATGTAACCATGATAAATAGTAAGCTTAGATACCTACAAAGCCAAAGAGGGGATGTACACTTTATAATTATTGTTATCCAGAGACTAATGTTTTAGAAACTATTACAAGGCTGTCTACATGAGAAGCAATATATGCACCTTGAAATATAGGGGGAAAAAAAAGTAATTCTTTTAGTAGCCTCTCTCTGTAACCCAGGACAGCTAACGTTATAGAATATTTGTTGTCCAAAGCCAAACATTCTTCCTGATAAACAGATTGTGACTCACCTTCTCAGAAACCAGTAGGTCAGGATGCATCAACACCCCCATGGGGAGAGTAGGTGAGGCCCCCACACAGACAGCAGTCTATACTTTAGAAGTGACCAGGACCTCCCAGGAGGTCACCCTTAAATGGAAGGGCACTGACCGTATCCAGGGGTCACCCATGTACTTCACTTTCCAGAGTCAAGTTGCTGGAAAGGGCACTGACCCTGTCCAGACATCACGAAGGTGCAGGGCACAACCTTCTACCTGTCTTAGGATGGCTCCAACTGCAATAAGTCCCTGCAAATTCTCCCTATAGCCTTCTTGAAGAGAAGACTGTGAATCTCTTTCACAGTGACAGCGATGTCAGGTAAGCGAGGAGAGCCCAGAATCGTTAGAAGAGACCAACCAAAGGGCCAGAGGCAAAGGAAAACAGTGAGGGCATCCTCACCACTTTCTCGTCATCTCCATTCCCTCTGGTTCTGTGACCATGCAGTGAGTGCCTCCGTGTGCAGGCGCTGTTCTAGAGGCTGCAAGCACCCAGATATATGAGACATGCCTGTCCAGGAGACAGACACATCCATACATGCTTGTAATATAGTCTGGTACAATTTCTAGAGAAGGAGAGAAATACACCAGATGCTCTTAGAGCACAGGTGAGCACTGAGTCCAAACTGGGAGATTGGAGAAGCCATACAGGGGAGATGGCATTTGACCTGGGCCTAAAGGTTGTGTAAGAGGCAGGCAGGTTAAGAGAGGTAGCCAAGGAATTCGAGGTGGGAGGAAAATCAAGAGTGAGGTGAAGAAGACTGAGATGCTTGGAAACTACCAGCAGGTCCTGCTAACAGAGTCTCTCTCACATGATAGGTCGGAAGGTCTGCTGAGGGCCAGGAAAGACAGAGCCCTAAATGGCACATTACAGAGGATGTGATGGGAAGGAAGCCTCTGGGGCCTTCAGCAGAAGAGGGACATGATCAGATTTGTGTTTTAGAAAGATCACTCCAGGGACCAGCAGACGGCATAATGGTGTTGGTGGACTCCCATGTAGTCAACCGCAGTTTGAGTCCCAGACCCGGCGGCTTAAATTCATGCTGGGCGCATGTGTGTGCATGCCCAAGGTCCCTAGAGGAAAATGGAGGAAAAGGAATTACAGCGTGGCCATCCCCCTGGGGGGTGATTTCTCGCTTTCTATCTCTCTGTCTCTCTGGTGAGCACAAGCACCCTAGAGCAAAAATCTCTCTACAAATAGAAGAAAGATTATTCTAGCAGCAGTGCAGAACGTGAATTTAATGGAGGGGGCAAGGCAGGTGGCCAGTGGTACACGAGGAGGTTTTCCCATGGCTACAATAGCATTGGTGAGTAACAACAAAAGAAACAGGCACAATACCTACAGAGGATATTACACAACAGCAGGACTCAGAAGTGGGCTAGATCTGGGAAGAAGGAGAGAGCACAACTTTCTGGTGTGTTAACTTAGGCAGCTGGTGACGTCTCAGAAGCCGAGGGAACAAAGTTTCACAGAGTGAGTAGACAACAGTATTGAAAGCAGCAGACCGCCAGCCACGATGGCGTAGCAATAATGCAATCATTCCATGACACTGAAGCACAAGGGAAGTCCCAGGTTTGCAGTCCAAGGGATTTCTGTACAAGCAGGGTACGCATGTGTTCCAGATCCTAGGTGGCCGAGGCTAAGGGTGGATGACGGTGACAACCTTGTTGGCCGTACCTCTTTCTCTCACTCTGTCTCTCACTCTTTCATGAAAGAAATAAATAAACTTTATTTTTTAAAAAAGGAAGAAAAAAGAAAGGGAGGAAAAGAGTGAGAAAGGAAGAAAGGGAGGGAGAGTGATTCAGCGAATCGCTTAACACTGAACATTGGTGACCCTTGTAAAAAAGGACTTTCATCTGGGAGCCTGGGTGAAAGCCAGAGTGGAGTTGGCTGGAAAGCGAGCACTCTGAGAGACCATCTGGGCCATCACTGGCAGGCCCAGCTGTGGTGACGGCTCGATGAGGGAGGCTGATGTCTCACTCCCACCTCATCCGCAGGGCAACCAGGAGGGGAGGCAAGAGCCTGCAAGGTCTATTCCCCTGAAAGTGTTGGGCTCTACATCTGACCCACAGAGAGCCCTCTCTGTGCCCTGGGCCAGTTTCCAGTGTCCATTTCCAGCATCCAAGTGACCATCGCTGCCTAGAAATCCACCCAGAGCATTAAGAGGTTCCGCTCTGGGCATGGTCAGTGAAACATCCGGAGTGATTCACTCCTGGTGAGGATTTCTAAATGTGGCATCTCACTTAAGTCATCTTTGAATCATTGCAAATAGGAGAGCAGTGTGCCTTTCTGAATCCCCCCAGTGCTTTTATTTAAATGCTCTTTTTGTGTATGGATCAATCTAAAACAAAAGAAACAAACAAGTAGAAAAAGTGAAATGTACTCAAACGTTTCCTCCTACTTTTCCTGGCCTTCTTAATCACCATAACAACACATCTGACCTAAGTTTGATTTAGTGAAGGGAACACAGTCGTGATGCATCACATTGTTATTCAGGGCCTTCTATGTCTCCTGCCTGAAGCTAGTGGATGGGTATAAATGGGAAAATAAAAGAAGACAGGCAAATCTTTCTTTCTGGGCCTGTATCTATATGAATTTTTTTTTAATGTTTTCCCATCTGGTATAATCTAACCCAACAGAACTAAGGCAAGGATAACTACTGTCTAGGAATAGATGGTTAGAGGTTCTGAAAATAAGAATGACTCCAAAATCCAGATACAAGGCCAGGATGTTCTTTCTCTAAAAAGTGACTTAGAAGAATCTGCAGCTTATACATAAATTGGGTATCTGTGGGTACGTGTCCTAGAAGATGTCACAGTGGGATTTAGGGACCATTTAATGGCTACACAAGTGGTTCCAACCCTGGATGTATCACCAGATGTGGATGCCAGAGCTACTAAGTGATACTTTAGGGACAAAGCCCAAGTACTGGTTGTTTTTTTTGTTTTGTTTTGTTTTGTTTTCTAACTTTTTAAAGATTTTTGTCGTAGGGCATGTGTGCTTGCCAGAGAGAGAGAGAGAGACAGAGAAAGTGAGAAATTAACCCCCTAGAAGGGATGGTCACACTGCAATCCTTTCTCCTTGTTTACTCTCAGTATTTTGTGCATGCACGCACATGCGCATGGCATGTTTTTCAGGTAGTTGGGTCCAGAACTCAAACTGGAATTAGTCATGTGGGATTCAGTGCCTTAACTACCACCCCTACTGGCCCCTATTTTTTTAAAGTGCCCCAGGTGATTCTGATGTACGACTAGCGCTGAAAAGCAACAAACCAGAGGAAAGCACTTTCTTGGTATGTGTTCTGGAAGTAGCCAATCTAAGATGTCTATCTATAATCAAGGAGAGATACTTCTCAAATGTGAGATTCGTGGCTCTTCATAAACTGGAGAAGGGATGATGTGGCAACCAGGGAGACTTCTAACCACACATGGAACTCACTTCATCTGCAGCAAGGCAGACAACGTGTAAACCCACAGTCAGCCCCAAGAGCTCTGCACACCTTCCACCTGCCTTTCCAGCAAACCCACATGTACGATCTATAAAGTTCCCAGCTAAGCCTTCCAAAGGAAGGATCCAGCCTTGCTAGTCACTTGGAAAATTCTGCAGAGATTCTGGTGGTTTCCACTAACTATGCTTCAGCACTTCAATGGAGCACATTCCTTGGTTTTGCAACCCATGGCTGATCATGGGACCACATTCTTCCATCTTTCCTCCCATCCTTCCCACTTTACTTATGTTTGTTTGTTCATTTGCTGATGGTTTTAGCTTTCTAGATGTCTTCTTTGTTGTTAAGTGTCACCTTCCAAGTTTTAACGGCTCTCATCTCCAGCAGCCCTTCCCTAATTTTCTCTCTAGTGACTAACTTAATAGACCATGAGTTAGGAAACAACAGGACAACCTTATTTAGAATTGTCACATACTAAAGGAGCTAGGACATCTCCAGGAAGAGTCCCTAAGTCTTTAGTTCTCAGCCCAAGTGTAAAGACCCTATAGCAACCCCAAATGTGACCCTCTAGAGATCTGAGGTTCCTAGGAACCGACTTTCAGATCATGCTGACTAGAGTTAACAACTAAGAACAGAACATAATTAGGGCACCTAAGTTACAGCAGCTGCTTCTGCTCAACATTTCTCCATCAAGATAACTTCCCAGGGACCAATAGTTAGCGTAATGGCTATGTCGCTAAACTCCCATGGTTCGAGTCCCAGACCTGGTGGCTTAAACTCACGCTGGGCGCGTGCGTGCCCAAGATCCCGAGGGGAGAATGGAGGAGAAGGGATTGCAGCATGGCCATCCCCCCTGGGGGTGATTTCTCGCTTTCTATCTCTCTGTCTCTCTCTGTCTTTCTGGCGAGCACACATGCTCTATAGCAAAAACCTCTCCAAAAAAATAACTTCCTATTCAAATATGGACCACTCCACTGACAGACTGATAACTGAAAATGAAGTCTCATGAGAGATAAGCGGTTAGATTTGAAGGAGATGAGAGAGGGAGAAATCATGCGCTCTTAAATTCAGAAGCATTTAGAACAGAGCCCTAAAATGCTTATGTTGAGTTTGGAGGAAAATCAAAACAGTGAAATAAGTAGGGATTCATAAATACCCTTCAGAAGATTTAAACATCTCAATACCACAGTGTGTTTGACTGAACTGAAATTCTTTAACACGGAGTGCAGTTACACTCGTGACTTAAGGTCTTATCTCTGGACTTTGATTTCAATCTAAAATGCCAGTGCTAAGAAGACATTACTAGAGAATTTAAAGCTGAAATCGCTCAGTGGGAAGAATGAGGATGAAGGTGGTGCCTATTCCGAGAAGCCCCTTCAATAGCAACCTAGCTCTTCTCAGTCTCGCGGTTTTCATTCCACTAGTTCTGATGGCACAGGTTCTTGTTCACCATGGATGCACATCAGTGTTTGTGAAAGATTAGAGAAAAAGCAGAGTTCCTGCTTTGGATTTTGTGTTCCTTAACATCGTTGGTGGATGTGGTGTATCTAAGTACAGGGAGAGGTACTATTTTCAGTCCACGTGGTATGGGAGGGAGTATAAGCGCTCAGCAGTTCCTGCCTGACTGACACTGGCCCTTCATTTTTACCCTTTCCTGGGCTCAGTTTATTCATGAGTAAAATAATAAACTTATAGAGATTAAATTTAACTTCTGGTTTCTAAATCCATATTCATTTATCTTGAGGAGATACATCCATTGATGCAATGAATATGAACACCATCTGATAGGCTATCAAACCATGTCCAGTGAACCAAAGAGAAACCCCAGAATACCTTACAGTCTTCTGTATTAGATACAGAAACGGAGTGAATAATAAGTGCTTTGCTTTTAACATTACCGACAAAGGACATCTCACTGCATAATTAGTCACTTAGCAAAGCCGGCAATAATCCCAGAGCTTGGCTTGGTATCCTAAAACCCATGCAAGAAGCAAAGCTTTTCCTCTTTGGCTTTAAATCCTCAGACCTTGTGTATTCAAATGTATTTCAATGTTTAGTGAGAAGTAGCTCTTCAGCTTACTTCATTTTTTTCAGAAAAGGGTTACTCTCTGGCTTCTAGAAAAGGTCATTAATATCCTACCTCAGCCTATGTCTTCCCATACTACCCTTAAGCCATTCTATCTATCCATCTGCAAAGAATATATGGGCTGTTTCAACCCTCCAAAGACTGCTCCTGAGAACAGGATGATGCAACAGCATCATGGGCATCTTACAACCAACTGAAACCAGAGGTCCTATATCCTTTGCCTGCTCAAAAGGCTAGAAACCATCTTGCAGTCCCAGGATGTAGGCTGGTACATATGGAGCTTGTTGTGATTTATGAACCTGGACTGTAGCACATACTATTATATTTGCCTCATACTTTACTCCAATGCCCTACTGATCAGCCAACAACTGATCAACAGAAAGAAGGGCAAGAGCCATGAAGCAAGATGCTGGCCAGAATGTAGAGATAAAGTTGGAAGATACCACACTTTGTAATAGAAGCTTCTTGGACTCTAGAAGCACATGTGCATATGAACCAATTATCCAAGGGGGCAACCTGAAGATGATTTAGGGAGGAGATGGTGTGTTTCATGCGGTTTTTATGTTGTCACAGTCTCATGTTTGGAAATGACGGCATGTTGCATGGGGGTACAAAAATGAAGGCATTAGAGGATGATAAAGTAAATCAAAGCTCAGTAGAATCGAGGAACCAGAGTAAAATAGGATGGGAATTTGTTGGTGTGATTTCATCACCATTTACAGGTAGAAGATACACACTTGCAAATGAACTTGCCAGCTCTCAGCACATTTCCTACACTGAGGCAGAGGTGGTTTCTTGGGACATAACGTAATCTACAGGGAACAGATCTCAAGGCTGCCCTTTGCTCTATTGATATCCTCAGTATTTACCTCCAGATTGTGACTTCGTTCCTGGTGATAGGTCAGGCTTGGTTGAGGACCTTCTGTCCAGAGCATCTAAATCCTCTTTCATATAAACCTCATTCCAGGGATAGAGGAGAGTTCCCAAATTCTAAGATACATGTACACTCACATACACACACATGCATATGCATGCACATGCCCTATACTTTATGAAAAGCATCTTTAAAAGATTCATAAACAGTAGTCTTTCTGGGGCCACGTCCTTCTACTACACCTAATCATTCTGTCATCCTAACTGGGCCCAGCCTCCACGTGGACTTTACTGTCCACAACTTACCAGCAAGGATTTGGAAGATTCCAGTGATGTAGAACCGGCCTCCCTTGGTGAGGGTGAAGAGCTGGCAGAAGAACAGGAACAGGGACAGAACACTGAAGATGATGGACAAGATCATGGTGGCCTGGACAGACTGCAGCCATTCTGGGGAGAGAGAGATACTTGATTAGGAAAGCCAACCATGGTGCCAGGAGGGCTCCTGCCATGATGGATGTGGGACCCATACTCCATGACAGCTGAAAGCGCAATGATTAGAGGCAGCAGGATCTTTTTATTTAGTAGAACTGAGACCATTTACTCTTGTACTCTAAAAAAAGAAATCATTTTTTTATTTCACAGTTTCTTTTGGAGGAAAAAAATATATATAGTACACATTTAACTGTAAACATTTTAGAAAAGGGCTATAAGGAACTATTTATAATCCCACCACCACCACTAGGAGTTAAACACAAATTAAAATACATTGAATTTCCTTCCAGCATTTGTGCCAAATGTGTTGCTCACATGTAATGTGCGTGTAGTAAAGACAGCCTGGACCTACCCACTGCCTCCCTTCTTTTTACCCTCAGAGGTCTTTGAAGCACTTATTAAAATCTCCACATTCCAAGAAGAGTTTAAAATCATTGTTCAAAATGTCAGCACTTCCTGGGACCAGCAGTTAGCGTAATGGCTATGTCGCTGGACTCCCGTGTAGTCGACCGCGGTTCAAGTCCTGGACCCAGTGGCTTAAACTCACGCTGGGCGCGTGTGCATGTGTGCCCAAGATCCTGAGAGGAGAATGGAGGAGAAGGGATTGTGGCATGGCCATCCCCCACGGGGAGTGATTTCTCACTTTCTATCTCTCTGTCTCTCTCTGTCTTTCTGGCAAGCGCACGTGCCCTATAGAGAAAACCTCTCCAAAAAAATAAAAAGGTCAGCATTTCCTAAGGAGATGTAGCGGTCATGACAATGGCCACCAAGGCTAATTTTGTGGAAATTTTTTTTAAAAAATGCTAATGGAGAGCGGTGTGCTTTCTGCAGTATGACGCCTGTTTGCCTGGCAGAGCAGCCTCTTTTCCTCGGTCTGTCGTGATCTTGGCCCTGAGTCTCAGCACAGAGCAGTGTGTACTCAATTTAATCACACCAAAGAATCATGGCTTACATCTTCATCTTTGTGGAATCCTTAACCTGAGATCAAATTGCTAAGCTTCTAGATGAAATTCAGTCAAGAAAGGAAGTGCCCCCTGTGGTGGCTCCACTCCAGGTCACCATCTACTACAAATTCATGCCATTTCAGGACAGAAGAAAGAGAAAACCATGAGATCAGCACTATAGAAGGAAGCCCGGGGTGTCCACCCAGAAGAGTTGCCATTGGCCTCACCCACCCTGCAGTGTCCTTGTCTCTTCCTCCACATGCCGTAGACTCATCGGGGTGGGCAATGTTCTAACTGAGGATGAGCAACTAGAGAAGCTACAGGGTCCAGTCCTCTCAGCTTGGGAACCAGCTGAGTTCTAAATGCCTTTTAAAAGCACACTTCAGGACCCAGCAGGTGGTGTGCTGGTTAAAGCACTGGCCAATCACAGTCTGCGTACTGGACCTAGTGGCTTGAAAATCACACCAGGCATGTGAGCTTGCGCACCCAAAATCCCAGAAGAGAATGGAAGAGGGACTGCAGCATGGCTATCTTCCCTGGGGGGGCTGATTTCACATTTTCTCTTTCTCTGTCTCTCTCTAGCAAGCACACGTACCCTATGGCAAAAAACAAAACCAAATTGTGGAATCCTTAACCTGAGATCAAATTGCTAAGCTTCTAGATGAAATTCAGTCAAGAAAGGAAGTGCCCCCTGTGGTGGCTCCACTCCAGGTCACCATCTACTACAAATTCATGCCATTTCAGGACAGAAGAAAGAGAAAACCATGAGATCAGCACTATAGAAGGAAGCCCGGGGTGTCCACCCAGAAGAGTTGCCATTGGCCTCACCCACCCTGCAGTGTCCTTGTCTCTTCCTCCACATGCCGTAGACTCATCGGGGTGGGCAATGTTCTAACTGAGGATGAGCAACTAGAGAAGCTACAGGGTCCAGTCCTCTCAGCTTGGGAACCAGCTGAGTTCTAAATGCCTTTTAAAAGCACACTTCAGGACCCAGCAGGTGGTGTGCTGGTTAAAGCACTGGCCAATCACAGTCTGCGTACTGGACCTAGTGGCTTGAAAATCACACCAGGCATGTGAGCTTGCGCACCCAAAATCCCAGAAGAGAATGGAAGAGGGACTGCAGCATGGCTATCTTCCCTGGGGGGGCTGATTTCACATTTTCTCTTTCTCTGTCTCTCTCTAGCAAGCACACGTACCCTATGGCAAAAAACAAAACCAAAACCAAACCAAGCCAAAACAAAACAAAACACATACACATCATTTCTTAACACATATAAAATCGAAATGGTTTATAATTCATAACAGATTAAGATAACCTTAGGTTGACTGGCCAATAGTTCATTTCATGGCAGAATTTTAAGAATGCTAACTGTATCAACTGTTACTAGAGTTTCACATAATAATTTTCCAGACAAAGACTGGATGCATTTTAGAATTAGATGAAACTCTAAAAGACCAAGTAATTTAGCTCCTTGGCATTGAAAGAGCTTTCCAGAAATGTTTTGATGAGCCCAAGAAACACAGCCAGATCAGGGAGGCCCTTGCTTCTGATCTAGTATTCTTCCCACTATAACACAATATATGTTTCTTGGGAACCAGCAGTTAGCCTAATGGCTATGTCGCTGGACTCCCACGTAGTTGACCGCGGTTCGAGTCCCAGACCGGGTGGCTTAAAACTCACGAGGAGAATGGAGGAGAAGGGATTCCGGTGTGACCATCCCCCCTGGGGGGTGATTTCTCGCTTTCTATCTCTATGTCTCTGTCTGTCTGGTGAGCGCACGCGCCCTATAGCGAAAACCTCTAAAAAAAATTATATATAAGCTTCTTTTATTTTTTCCATGTCTTTGTCAATTAAGGTAAGAAAATGATATCTAATGGGTGGTAGGCTATTCTGATTTCATTTTTAATGTAACTTTAATTAAATACATCTTTAGCATCAGAGTTCTTCTAGAGGCACACTGCAACAGAGATAATGTTGCCTTAAAAAATATATATATATATATATATTTTTAACTAAGCCAATTATCTAGTACTTTGGTAGATACAACATGAAATGTAAGAAATCTGAAACTAAAGCTAGCAGAGGAATCAACTGCCTTTTGCTGGGAAATATCTTTCAGTGAGCACTCTCTTAAGGTGTGTGGCTGGTAAAAATGAGATATCCTGGACTCCTCCAGTTCTGAGATCCTTTTCTTTGTCTTTACCACCACTATCATTATCAGCAGGAGTTCCTACCGGAGCTCATATGTAAAGAACATTTAAACATCTTTATATGTTAAATCTACATGAATAGAAAAAAATCCCCAAGGTTTAATAATGTAACTAAACCCTTCTTGAAACTTCTTTCACCAAAAATTTGAATTTTAGTCCTAATCTTATTTCAGCTGAGTTCCTCTCTCTTAAGTAGTTTCTCAAATCAGATTAGGGTTTGAGAATCAAGGAAATTTTTATCCTATGAAGCATCTGTTGAATATCAACTGTCTTGAGCTAAGCCATCTGTCTGGCTCTAGGGATACGAACATGAAGAAGGTGGTATTCAACAATAAGCACAATAAATAAAGCACATTCATTAAGATAGTAAGTCCAACTATATCTTAATCACAATATACGTGAATGGGTTCAAGTCCCTCATTATAAAATGTGGAATTTCAGGGACCAGCAGTTGGCGCAATAGCTATGTCGCTGGACTCCCATGTAGTCGACTGCAGTTCGAGTCCCAGACCCGGTGGCTTATTAAACTCACGATAGGTTTGTGTGCATGCATGCCTAAGTGTGTGCATGTGTGCCTAAGATCCTGAGAGGAGAATGGAGAATAAGGGTTTTTGGTGTGGCCATCCCCCCAAGGGGTGATTTCTTGCTTTCAGTCTCTTTGTCTCTCTCTGTCTTTCTGGTGCATGCACGTGCCCTATAGCAAAAACCTCTCCCCCCCAAAAAAAGAATGTGGAATTTCATCCTGGATTAAATCACTCATACAAAAAATATACCTAGGGACCCACAGTTGGCGTAATGGCTATGTCACTGGACTCCCACGTAGTCGACCGCGGTTTGAGTCCCAGACCCAGCGGCTTAAACTCACACCGGGCACGTGTGTGTGCGTGCCCAAGATCCTGAGAGAAGAATGGAGGAGAAGGGATTGCGGCATGACCATCCCTCCTGGGGGGTGATTTCTCACTTTCTGTCTCTCTGTCTTTCTCTGTCTTTCTGGCAAGCGCCTGTGCCCTTTAGCAAAAACCTCTCCAGAAAAAAGAAAAAAAGAAAAACACCTAAAACAAACAGTTGAAAATAAAAGGATTTCTAAAATATTAATAGAAAGAAAGCAGGTAAAGTAGTAAAAGTATCAAACAATACAAAATTTAAATTAAAAGATGAAAGTGGGGACCAACAGATGTCGTAATGATTACACCACTGGACTCCCACATGTTCGACCATGGTTCAAGTCCTGGGCCCAGCAGGTTAAAACTCATGCCAGGTGTTTGTGCATGCATGCCCAAAATCCCAAGAGGAGAATGGAGGAGAAGGGACTGTGGTGTGGCCATCCCCCCCTGGGGGATGATTTCTTGCCTCCTGTCTCTCTGTCTCTCCGGTGAGTGCACATACCCTTATAGCCAAAAACACTCTCTCTAAAAAAAAAGGATGAAAGTGGCTAACAAAAGATATTTCATAGAGCAAAAATTCACTTTACTTTTTCAATTTACTTCCAACTTACTTGATCTATGACTGAAGAAATAAGTCATCAGCCTGTAAGGATATAATATTAGGTTGTTGGAAAAGTCATTACATATTTTTCTGTTTTTCTATGCAAAAATGTGTCATGACTTTCCCAACAACCCAATAACATGGCCTGAAAAAAGTGTAAACAAAAAACAATCAAAATATAAGAAACTGACAAAGTTACAATCATAGAGGAAGGTATTAGCTTTGTTACTCAGAATAGATAAATCAGGTAGACAAAGCTAATGAAGGATGAACACTTTTTATATAACAGGATTAATAAATTCAATTTAGTAGATA